TCCTCCTTCCTTTCTGTGTCCTACAAGGGGAGAGCCATGAGAATGACACTTCTGGTCTCCCTCCACTCCCTCATGGGCTTTGCTCAAAACAGGAGAAGACAACGAAGCACAGGTGGCTGGGGCCTCCCTCCTTCCCTTGAGGTCCCCCTGCCTGCTGTGGGAGCCCCATTCTCTCTGCTGTCCAGCTGTCAGTATCACAGCCAGGCACTTCTGTGAGGGCAGTTTCACTCTTGAGGTACAATATTAGTACCACTTTATCATTCAACCCAAAGCCAGAAAAAATGACCCATGTGGCCTTCCAATAAACATGACATTTTTATCTCCTATTGTCACTCTCTGTGACTCAGTTCTGAATTCAAGCAGGGTCCAGAATCATCATTTCCAACTGCTTCCAACTGCTGCAAGTGTCTCTCTCATCTGCTCTTATTCCCAGCTGCTGTCATTACATATCTTAACAATATTTGATAATGGGCAGTTTTTTCACTCTTTTACAGGAGAAAAACTGTAGAACCTGAGCACTGAATGACTCATCAAGAGACCATTTAATATGTCAATTTGTTCACTTTAAGATGGAAAATTCTGATTCCCTAACACAGATGTCATTTAGAGCACATAGCCTTCTGATTGCAATCTTTCCGTAGTGGGGGGGGCGGAGGATGCTGAATATTAGAAATTATCTTACTGGCAGCAAGAGGGGCTATCCTATTAGATCTGGAATAGAAACACTATGTACAGGTTCATCTGCTTCACTTTACTTGAAGCTCTGTGGATGAAGCAAGGAGATAAATTGGGGACAGGGGCCTGGAAAACCCTTCTCTTACTTAGGAGCGTTTATACTTCATTCATGAAACAACCACTGCGGCCCTCTAAGTGCCAGGCACCAATCTTGGAGTAATGAGATGAATACAACACAGTCCCTAATGAGTCCACTCTTTTTCTCCCTGTATAATACTGCAACCCACTTCTGTTATTCAACAATGCCTCAATGGACACACCGTCTATCCACGGACAGTGAATCACCTTGTGACTTCTGCATGCTACCTTCTTTCTAGTGGTCCTAGTTCTCCAGCTATTTGGGGTAATTTATTACAATACAATGTTGTTGTTTTTTTAAGAGACATTGGATACCAGGATAATCTCAATCTGAATGCAGACCATCACATGTCCTATGGCTAGAAAGCACAACTCCAAGGTGCCCAGATGCCCATAGGTGCAACAAGGCATTGACTGGTCAGGGTAGGGAACAGCGAAGTAGGCTGTTGTCAATAAATTCAAAGAAGAAAACACAAATCAGGGTATCCATCAAACAACAAAGGGCACCTCTTTCTCCTCTTAAACTCAAGCTTCAACAAAATGAATGAGCTCCCTACTTGCTATTAACACTTTTACAAGTTCAAGCTTACTTTAAAAAACAGGTTACATACCCCAAGAACCTTCTAATTTGTTAGTAATTAGAAAGACTGGTGTGAATAAGTGAGAATTTAGGATTAAAAAACATGTGCCAAATAGGTTTGTTGTTGTCTTGAATGAAGAATGGGAGGAAGTTCAGATAACATTTGTTGAGAATCGATGTTGCAGGCACCCTCGTACAAGCCTTTTCCTCACAAGTTTTCTGGAAAGTACATAGTAATGTACCTATTATTTTTTCCAGATGCAAAAATTAAAGTTCAGGTGTTAATTAACATACATTATATTTCCGATTCCAGTTCCTCTGGAAAAATTTCTTATTCTCTGAGTCAGTGTTTCTCAATGAGTTTGTGGACACTGGTCATTAGTTGGTCTTGGGCTGGGAACTTTGTATGTGATGACCTTGCCTTGAAGGAGTGTTAACATCCCTGGCTCATGAACACAAAATACCAACAGCAAACCCCAGCAGCAGTCCCTACATATCCACACACCCCTGAGGAGGGCAATGCCCCCTCAGATGAGAACCACTAGTCTAAAAGGTTGAGTATCAAGACATAAGACCAAAGAGACGGGCACATCCTTTAAAAGTGCCCCCTACCTTCAAACTCTGGAATCCAAAGCAAGTCCCATGCTCCATGGAGTCATTTACAAAAGCTCTGTGCATTTATTCCCATGCATTCCAAGAGCATTTATTGAGTACCTATTATGGGTCAGGTACTGTGCTGGGAATATAAAGTCAAAGAGAGCATGGTTCCAATCCCCAAGAGGTTACAGTCTCATATTCTAGTGAGAGAGAGATTAAGTATGGTAAGAGTTAGGACAGAAGTAAGCACAGGTGTTGGGTAGGGATGCTTAGTGCAGAAGGCACCTCCCATAGATAGGACAGAGTGCTGGAAGGCAGACAAAAAGGAGGGCTGGGACAGGTTCCCAGAGGAGAGTCGAAAGACCAAATGAAAGTAGCCAGGAAGGGCCCAGTCTGGGCAGAGAAAACTGCCTTTGCAAAACCAGAGAAGAGAGGAATCATATTTGTAGCCAAAGTTTAAACTACTTCATTCTTCAAGTGGAGACCTCATTGTGATTCAAACTCAGGATCTCCTGTTTACTAGAAAGGCAGGTTAACCAAATAAGTCACTAGATTTATCTTCCTTATAAGTTATCCGCAGCCCATGTGTATTTCCTTCCAAGGCCCTTGCTTTTGTGGGTATAATAACCCATCAGACAAGAAATACGACTAATTCTATACTTATTCCAGTGAGCAGGAAATGGCTTTCAAGCACATTGTGGACTGGCAATCAGTTGGAGTGTCCCTCACTGGGGATACACAAAAGTGGGGAACAGAAGAGGCAATAATGTCATCTGAGGAATGAGGTAGGTAGAGGGGTGTCCATAGGTCAACATACCCTTGACCCCAAGCTCAGGGTGAACTTTACCTTGTTGGTTTTTTGTCTGTTTGGTTGGGTTTTTTTTGTCAGTTTGTTTAATCTGAAGTCATGTCTCACTTATCATCAACTCTATCATGCAAAAAGCCAGATCTTGCCTGGCCAGCATGACTCAGTGGCTGAGTGTTGACCTATGAACCAGGAGGTCATGGTTCAATACCTGGTCAGGGCACATGCCCAGGTTGGGGGCTCGATCCCCAGTGGGGGTCATGCAGGAGGCAGCCGATCAATAATTCTCTCTCATCATTGATGTTTCTATCTCTTTCTCCCTCTCCCTTCCTCTCTGAAATCAATTTAAAAAATACATTTTTTAAAATGCCAGATCTTTACCCTATTATTACATTTGCACAGAAAACTTAGAAAAGACTTTGGCTAGTGGTTTGTTCTTTTCAAAGGCATATATGTTATATATAATTAAAAACAACAAATATAGAAATAAATATATTAGATATGGATAGATAGATATCCAGAGGTGGCCAGCTGGGGATCTCTGAACCTGAGATAGCCCAAAGGCAGTAGTTTCCTGCATTCATGGGAGCTGAGCCCAGGAGCTGGGTTGTTGCTACTTCAGGTGAAGTAATTATAAAGAGCAAGAGTCAAATTAGCTTCATTTCTCTCACCTGGGTGGGGAGCAGAGAGGGAAGCAAGCAAGCCCTTATGGTTCTTTCTTGCCTCCAGTCTACAAGGAACAGGCTCATTTCCCCTTGGCAGGAAGCCTGATGCAACTAGCAGGCATGCCCTCTTTTTCCTACCTCCCGCCCCAACCCCTTCTCCTCTGACCTGAGCCACACTCAGGAACCACAATTCTGTACGTGAACTAGGCTCCCTTTAGTCCCATGATTTTTTTCCCCCCATTTTATCAGTTTGACCTCTAATCTGACATCACAGCCATGCCTGGTCTACATATTTTCCCCCAGAAACTGCCCTCCACAAGAAAGCCTGTGTTCTGAGCTAAGAGAATCTGAAATGAAAACGGGATCCCTCACAAACCGCCTGTCCCTGCTTTCAACCAGAAAGTTTAAAGGAGGCAGGACTGCTGAGCCCAAACTGCAAAGTCAAAGGCTTCAGAATTATACCAGGAAAGAGGCAGGTGGTCTTTGGGGGGTGGAGTTCACCCAAATCCAATAGGTTGGTTCTCCTTTTTACCCCTGGCTGATTCCATTTCGTTTCTGGAAACTTTGAAATCCCGGGAGGGTTGTATCAACAGAGACAGGTGTAGGGGCACCTCCACTCCCTTGGGCACATCTGCTGCTGCCCCTGCCCGGTGCAGACGACGAGGGGCCCTGGATTCCTCGACCCAATCGCAGTGCATGCTTCTTGATGACGCACCTTGCCGGGGTCCTCGCCAAGGTGTGGGGGGCAAGCGAGCATCCCCTGCCCAGTGGCCGCCCCGCTGATCACCCAGCTAGCCGGCCCCAGAGGGAGGGGACCGCGAAAGGGGCACCTCGGGGCTAAGACCTCCTGCCTGTCTCTCAGGCTTTCCCCCCATTTCCGGCACATCGTTTCACATTAGGGACACTTCGTCTGCAAGCGTAAAGTCCTGCGCACCTACGTGTCTTTCCAAAGCAAGTGAATAAAGCGCCTACTAGCCTTCCGTGGCTCAGGTGAGCGCCAAGAGGTGTAGGAGGAAAGGGCCGGCTCGCCACCACCCTCTTTCCTCTCCTCCCCACGTTCCCCAAGATTCACCGGGGATGTGTGTATTGGGGTGCGCGGGTTAAGAGGGGGCATAAAATGCCCAAGCGTCCCTTACCTTCCACAGCCATTCTCTCACAGCTTCCCTAACGCATGCATAATTTTCTTGGCCGAGGTACTCCTCCTTCCCCGTGCAACCCCCCTCCGTGCGCTTTCGCCTAAATATTCTGCGCTCATCTGCTCCAGGACCAACCTGCCGCGGTCACGCAGACAGGCTGCCGGCTCCCAGATCCGCGCAAGGCCGCGTGGGAAATGTAGTTCCCTCCCTTCGCTCCGACCCGCGAAAACACTCCGAGTCCTTGGCGGGGCGCGCCCTCCCCTCCACACTCGGACTGCAGCTATGGTTCCAGCTGATCCACGCCAAGAAATCCCTTCTGGGGGGTCTCGTAAGCGGACAGGGGAACCCCCTGGAGGTGGTAGGAACTACATTTCCCAACATGCCCTGAGCTGGATTTCGTTCCGCACTTAGAGACCTGATTGAGATCCTCCCTTCAATTAGAAGGGACTAAGCACCTGGCGCGGGTAGAGTGGGAGGCGGAAGGAGGCAGGGTTTGTGGCGTGATCTCCTGAGCTTGTTTTCTGGCCTCCTAGGCCACCCGCTTAATGACGACAGCAGAGCCACCAGCGGGCTGTGGTTCATCGCCTGGGTCAGAGAGCCATTGCACAGGGTGCTGTTGAAACTTGTTCCTCTGCGCCCTGGGATGTGTGGGGTTTGGCTGGATGCTGGCAAGTGTGGTTCAGGTGGCTAACACTTAGCAAAGGGGTGGCGGGTGGCCTAAAATTCCTAACCAGGCATCATTCCTAAGGAGCAATACCTGGGAACCAGGATTCCACCCGAGGATGTCAGCGAGGGAAACGTGTCTGGCTTCCAAGGTAGGAAGCTTTCCAGTTGCCTGGCCCGGGGCCTGTCGGTGGTCGGTGATGGGGCCTAATAATGAACAGCGCCTCGGAATTAGTGTTCTCTCAACTTCTGAACCTGTGCCCCAATGACAGGTGCTGGGGTACCTGGAACACACAGGAAAGAGAGAGTCACGTGGAGGGCCGTAGAATTCCAGAGTGGAAGTTCGCAAACTTTTTCCCCCTGCGTGTGGAAATACAGATGCACGTATGGCTTGGTAGAGGGTGAGGGAATGGTCTTCGGGATAAAATGTACCCAGGATTGCAGTGAGCCTTTGAAAGGCCTTGAGTTTGGAACTGTACATGGTACCACTTCATTTCCACCCAGCCCCTAGCATTTCTGTCCTCTCTCCTATATATACTTAAAAAAAAAAAAAAAAAAGAAAGAAAGAAAAGAAAGGAAGCAAGAAAGAATGAACAAACTAAATAATAACTCTAAGGAAGTACAAAGATCTGATTCTTCCCATTATCATGACAAATTTTCCTTTTCTGTCTTGGTCATAATTTTTTCTTTCTTTTTTCTTTTTTTTCTTTCTTTTTTTTTTTTTTTTACCTCTAAGTACCTATGTGTTTAGCCCTCTTATTAGGTAGCATAGCTGTGTCTGGGTCTTTTCAAAAGACCTGTGTGCATCCATTAATGATACTTTGACTCTGAGTCGGGAGAGCTGTGTGCACATCAAACCCAAGGCTTCCAGCTTTGGTAAACAGAGACCTGTTCAGTGAGACAGCGCCATTTTTTCCAACCACATATGCAACCAAGCTCTCCATACTAGAAGGAACTGAAATCCAGGTGCTGTCTTTCTTCTCAAGTATACAAAATGACCAAAGCATTCATTTCCTTAGATCGAAAGTCATGGGAGGAGAGGCAACATCAAGAGTTCTCAATGTTGCGCATTAGCCCTTTACAAACACACTTTCCTAAGCCCCACCTTAGTCTTACAGAATGAAGATATTTTTGAGATTTGGGTAGGGACACTTAAGTTTTAAAAATCCACAGGTGATTCTACTCTGTAGCGAGGGTAAAAACCATTGGTTTGCTCTCAAGCGTTTGAGGATCTGGGTGATACTAAAATGTGAAAATCGCTGAAATTAATTTTTAATTTAAAAACCTCATTTCATTGCTTCTCAGCGTTTAGGCTAAGGTCGGGTGTAAAAACATCATTTCACCTGAAGTTTTTAAGAGCTTTCTCAACCAATATGCAGTTTGAATTTCATTTAGTGTAAACGTAAGTAAGATGTGAAGGAAATATTTGTTTAACCATATGAAATAGCCAATATTTAACTTTAAAACAATCTATAAACAGAGCAATTTTATGTGTTTTTACCTACTGAAGGATAAACAGCAGTTAAACAGGGGTTTTCAATTCTGGATAAATATTAGAAGCACCTGTGAAGCTTTAACAACGAACACATTTCCCGTAGAATGGCCAAAAGAAAAAGACAAAAAATACCAACTCTTGGCAAGATTGTAGACCAGTAAGGACTCATGTATCCTGTGCAAACTGATACAGCCACTATGGAAAACCATTTGGCATGTTAAGCTGAATGTTGGCTTATTCTGTGATCTAGCAGTTTCAATCAAACATATGCATACAATTTTCCAAAAGACATATACAGAAATGTTTGTGGCTACATTATTTGAATAGGTACAAACTGGAAACAACCCAAATATTCATCAACAATAGATTGGATAATCAAATTGTGGTATAACCAAACCATCCTCTATAGCAGGGGTCAGCAAACTATGGCCTAGGGGCCAAATATCGCTCACTGCTTATCTTTGTATGGCTCATAAGCCACCCCCTCATAAGCTAAGGATGGTGTTTATATTTTTAAATGGTTACCAAAAAAATCAAAAGATGAATATTTTGTGACCCATAAAAATTATAAAGAAGTACCCACATAATATTCTTAATTTTGCTTTTTGGTCTGCGAAACCTAAAATATTTTCTATCTGGACCTTTATAGAAAAAAGGTTTTTCAAACCCTACATAAAATTAGAATGAATGAATAAAACAACACGGTTGAGCCCTAGCTGGTTTGACTCAGTGGGTAGAGCATTGGCCTGTGGACTGAAGGGTCCTGGGTTCAATTCCAGTCAAGGGCACATGCTCGAGTTGCAGGCTCGATCCCCAGCTGATCAATGATTCTCATCATTGATATTTCTTTCTCTCTTTCTCTCTCTCTCTCTAAAAAACAACAGAAAAACCTAAAACAACAACAACAACAAAAAACACGGTTGAACCATATGCATTAGTTACCTATTGCTGGTAACAAATTGCCCCCAAATATAGTGGTTTAAAATAATACCCATTTATTCTCTCAATGTCTATGAGATAGAAATTTGGGCGCAGCTCCTCTAGGCCCTCTGCCTCCTGGTCTTTTACAGGCCATAATCAAGGCGTTGGCTGGGCTGAAGTCATCTGAAGGCTCATGGGGACAAAATCTGTTTTCAAGATCACATAGCTGTTGGCAGATTTCAGCTCCTCCCAGGCTGTTCTTGGGTGGAGGGACTCAGTTCCTTTCTGGCTATTGACCAGAGCCCCCCCTCAGCACTTTGCCACAAGGGCATCTCCAACATGGCAGCCTGCTTTATCAAAGCATGCAAGCTAAGAAGGCAATAGAGTCTTCTAGCAAGACGGAAGTCACAACCTAATCATGGAAATGCCACCCCCTCAATGTTGCCATCTTCTAATAGATACACTTTTTTCAGGGGGAGAGGATTAGACAAGGCCATAATGAACCAAAGGTGGGATCATTAGGGGTCAGCTGCCTACCACCACATACAAGCAGAATGTTGAACAAAACAAGCCAGACAAAAAGAAGTACATATTGTGTAATCCTATTTATATAAAGTTCAAAGGCCAGAAAAAAATTAATCTGTATCATTGGAAGTCACAATAGTGGTTCCTCTTAGTGTAGAGGAGGTGAGAAAAGGGGGCCTAATTAGCTGCTGGAAGGAAGCCCTGTGATGGCATCTGGGGGTATTCTGATTCTTGAGCTGATCCTATTTATACCTATGTATAATGCTTGTGAATATATATTTAGCTGTATATGCATGATTTGTGGAAGTTGGTCATGTTTGTGGATGTGTTACATTCCAAAGAAAAGTTTAAAAAAAGAATATGTGGCCCTAGCTGGTTTGGCTCAGTGAATAGAGCATTGGCTTGAGAATTGAAGGGTCCTGGGTTTGATTCTGGTCCAGGGCACATGCCCGGGTTGTGGGCTCAATCCCCAGTAGGGGACATGCAGGAGGCAGCCTATCAATGATTCTCTCTCATCATTGATATTTTTATCTCCCTCTCCTCCCTTCCTCTCTGAAATCAATAAAAATATATTTAAAAAAAAGAATATGTGCTTAGATTCTATCAAATATGGTAAGTTTACCCATGTGCTTAAACACTAAACTATGCTGCCTTTCTCATTTTCCACATTACCGTGTTTCTGCCACAGGCAGTTTTGAAGCGTGGCTGACCAAAGTCAAAGCAAGAGGCTGGATACATGGATATCAGGTGTGGTCCCCAAGGAGCATCTCCTTGTGCCTCTCATCTTCAAGGACGGGTGAGTAATATGGATAAAACCTCTGCAGCCTTTTCTCTTTGGGGAAACTCTGTGCTTTGTTATTTTCCCAGAGCCAGAAAAAAAAACCCAAACAAAAAAACCCCAACATATTGTGTTGTCACAAAAGAAAAGGATGGAGTTGAGCCTTCGTGATTAGAGATGAGAGAGGTCCATCACTTGTCAGAAAGTGAGAGTCAGGGGAATTCATGCCATCGGTGCCCGAGAAAAGGCACTGCAGGTGCTGATGACAGATTACTGTCCTCATAAACCTGAAGGCATGATCTAGGGCTCAATCCTAATGTCTGCCAAACTCAAAGAAGTGAAAGAAAAATGGGGACAGAGGGCATGATTTAGATTGCACCTGGGAGAGAAGGAATGCAGCGCACCCAAGATGTGCCTTGTGAGATAAGGCAACCATTCTCGGGGCACAGGTCCCGGTTTTGCTCCCACCTTGCCTTTTCCAGCCCCTGGTAACTGTTAGGGAAAAATGTGCCATGTGAAAGGTATTTCTGTGCAGTCTGGTTTTATTCAAGGAAATGCAAATCTTATGGGGGTGGGGAAATAGTCAGCTGAATTTTGCCCCATTGTTTTTAAGGCTGATGGGGTGGTATCCGTTAGGTGTCTTCAGTGATGCAGGGTGTTATTGTTAAGGTGGTCTCTGTCTCCCTAATCCTACCCTCCCATGGACCCTTTAGGGTCCTCCATTCTCATCTCCTGGGCTGGTCTCAGGAAAAGAACAAAGGTAACCATGAAGCATCCCCATGGCCCTGGTTCCTTAGGATGCTGACTCACAGGTGCGGTGTGCTTTGTTGACTCTGCCTTTGGAGGCAAATTGAAGGTCCCTGGAAGCGTACAGACCTGAGTTTGAAATCTGCCTCTCACCACATACCAGCTGGCTGGATGGAAATTAAGTAATTACCATCTTTGGCCTTGCTATTCTCATCTTAGAGGTATGAAGGTCCTAAGGAGAAATGCAAGTTTGAAAAACCACCAAACGAGGTGACCTTAAGGTCATTTCCTGCTCTAAAGGTTTATGATTGTGTGAGTCCTCCTTCTTCCTGCTTCCTCATTCTTATAGAAATTAGTGACCAAGACCAGTCCCTCCTTAACAATTTCTCTCTTGACTGCCCTCTTCTCACTCCTTAGCCACTGATAAGGACTAGAATGGAAACATTAGCAGTATCTCAACAAGTCTAGTCATTCTTACCTCCAAATGATCTCCCATGATCACATAAATCTCCAGGAATATCCTCTTTCGTGATGTCCTTCCAGTGTTAAATGCAAGCCCTTCAATGGCTGTGTAGCAGTCCTTCCATGGAGGACCACAGACAGATATTAGTACATATCAATGGATGGTTTTTGGAGAATACAGTCTGAAAAGTTGAGTAGTTTCCAGTATTGATGGAATGTCCTGAAGACTCATATGCAAATGTACATGTGAATCTTCCTGAAGTTCTCCCTCTCTGGCTTGTGTGGGCAAGCACAGGTTTCAGGGTGTCCATTTGAAAGCTGTGTCTTACAACTGTGCATCTCCCCTGGCACTTCTCCCTTTGAACATGCGAAAGTACAGAAAGCCATTTCTCGATAGGCTGTTGCTCTGCTTCTCCTTTACTGTCTAACCCTCAGCCTCCTGAATTCAGAGTCACCACTACAAAATACCAAGATGTGTTTGTTCGTGTATGCATACATATACATAATTCTCTTTACAGAAAGACTGTGCGATTTTAAAAGGGAATTGAGCCACAGAGGATTTCTAGGGCATATAAGCTACTCTGTATGATATTATCCTATATAATAAAAGGCTAGTATGCAAATTTTTCCCTCAACAGGGAGTTCGGCGAGGGGTGGGGCCGGCCAGCCAATGCCCGCGGCCCCTCCCCACAGCTGGCCCCACCTTCGTTCACCCCCTACCCCTATCAGGGGTGGGGCCAGCCTGCCAACTGCCTGCAGCCCCTCCCCCTGGCTGGCTCTGCCCAATTGGTCCTGAGCTGGGCGGGCTGGCCAGACCCCACCAGTGCACAAATTTGTGCACCAGGCCTCTAGTAATACTATAATGGTGGATACATGTCATTATACATTTGTCCAAGTTTATAGAATGTACAACACACCAAGAGTGAACCCTAATGGAAACTATGGGTTGTGGGTGATAATGATGTGTCAGTATAAGTTCATTAGTTGCAACAAATGTGCAACTCTGACAGGGGAGGTTAATAATGTCGGAGGCTATGCATGCGTAGGGGCTGGGAGTATATGGACTTTTCTGTACCTTCTACTCAATTTTTCTATGAGCCTAAAACTTCTCTAAAAAATAAAGCCTGTTTCAAAAGAAAAAATTTACACCCTAGTACTAAATATACCTTCCTAAGGGTCCAAAGGTGTGTGTGTGTGTGTGTGTGTGTCTGTGTGTGTCTGTGTGTGTCTGTGTTGCTAAGAAGTCAGCCCTTCAGTAGATGGGGGTTGAGCGCATCTAGTTTTAATTTGACTTCCCTACCCCTGGATTTGCCCTCTATCCCAGTGAGCCTTATCTTCTAGACTTCCCCACTGAAGTTCCCATTCTTGTTCTGGAAAACCCCAGCTCCTACCTATTGGCTCCTCCCAGGGCCCATTTGAATCCCCCTCCTGAGGACATTCCCCCAAGTCCAAGTCACTGAGTCCCAAATAGCATCCTGGGGTTTTTATTCGGGCAGTTGATGATTTCTTCTGATCACCCAAAGAGCTGCAGAATGGTATAGGCCAGTGGTCGGCAAACTGCGGCTCGTGAGCCACATGCGGCTCTTTGGCCCCTTGAATGTGGCTCTTCCACAAAATACCAACTTCTGCGCATGGGCCATGAAGTTTCAATCGCACTGTACATGCGC